TCCTTCTTAAGATTTGCTAAATGTGTTGGGTACATAGAAAACAATCACTTTAATTTTTCTTTTCTTCTTTTTATGGAAGTATCTGGTGGCATTCACCTGTCATTTTATGTTGCATGCGTGTGTCCGAGGACGGGAGACAGGAGACTGGGGCTGGCGGCAGATATGATCAGGAAGGGGCTCATTTTTGCAAAGAAGACATTGCACTTGCTTCCCCTGACTTGCATCGCATGTTGAGTTGCTATTTACTGACGTCCATTTATTTTAAAACAGACTCGGAAAGTGAGTAGAAATGATTATTCCTATTGCACAGATGAGAAAACAAAGGCCTGGAGAGTTACATTAACACGTCAAGGTTTTGCCTAAATAGCCGTGTATGTAGACATGAGTCCACACTGAATTTGTCTCGAATCTCCCCTTTCCCAGGGAAGTCCTTTCTAATATGATATATCCTGAAGGGCAGCCTCTGGGCTGCAGTAACTCGATAGTAGGTGGCAGTCTTCCAAGGAGTTGCTGGTTTCCTTTGGTCTCAAGTTCTTTGCTTGTGCGAAGGTGAATGGAGTGGGATATTGCAACACTGGGTTATCATTCACATGGTAACTTGCATGGGAAAACGTCTCCCCTGCACAGATTAATTAAGAAGGATCTTTTGGAATTCTGTGCCTTGGAGTGCATTACGGGTGGTTTTTGTGAAGTCAAAGGGACAGAAACTGTTTTTCGTGTTTGCTAACTGGAAACTATAGAGGAGTGTAAGTGGACAGTACAGCTGCATTATAAAAATGCAGGTTGTTTTTAATTAATGCCATATGAAGCGTCCAACCACAGCATTTTCCCCCGGTTGGGTGATGTCTGTACGCATTGTAGCCTAAAATTCTCCAAATTACTCCCATGTTGTGCTAGATGCAGCAGTGATTGAGTACTGTTTGCTGGGGCAGTTGGGATAATAGAAACCTCATCAGTCAGCAGAGGAAGCGTGGACAGCAGATTGGAGTAAAAAGGTAAAATCTGATTCCAGGCTGGTTCCAGAGCCAATTAAGTCCACTTGGCAGTAACCAGGGAGTAAGAATTTATTCTTTGCAATTCAGATAATCAGTCCTTATGCCTTGGACAAAAGGAGATGCTTCTGGGTTCACATGACTGCTCAATGCTGGAGCCTAGACACAAGAGCACCAATGACCATGTATATATATTTTTTTGATGAGGAACCCACAAAGCACAGGAGGGTACACCAGTTGTCCAAAGCATAAGGGCTCAGGAGGACAGCTCAGTCTTACACTGATTGACATGAATTTAAAGTAGAAAAAGGATCCCAAAGACTCGAAAACTCATATCCGAAAAGATATTTGCACACCGATGTTCACAGTAGCATTATTCATAGTGGACAGGACATGGAAGCAACTGAAGTGTCCTACGATAGATGACTGGCTAAAGAAGCTGTGGTACATATATAAAATGGAATATTACTCAGCCATAAGAAGAGATGAAATACCGCCATTTGCAACAACATGGATGGAACTCGAGATAATCATGCTAAGTGAAATAATCCAGACAGAAAAAGTTGAAAATCACATGATATCACTTATATGTGGGATATAAACCTAAAAGCAACAAATGAACAGGACAAACAAACAGAGACTCATGGACATGGACTACAGACTAGTGGTTACCAGAATGTAGAGCGTGGGGGAGGAGGGGAGAGGTAGACAGGGGGTCAAACATAGGGGTATAGGGGGAAGGTGAAGTGGGTAAAGGAGATCAAATATATGGCAGTTGAAGGAAACTGGACTTTGGGTGGTAAATACACAATGTAATATACAGATGTGAAATTATACTGTACACCTGAAAATTACATAATTGTATTAACCAATGTTACCCAATAAGCTTAAAAAGTGGCAAAAGTACAAATATACCAGACTTTAACAAATCAAAGATGCATACTGAAATCCTAGGTAACCACTAAAATAAATGGTAAAGAAATGTATAACTAACAAGCAATGGATAGGAGTGATAGAATAAAAAAAAAAAACTATTGAGCATAAAGGAGACAAGAATGGAAAATAAAAAGGAACACACTACAAGTAAGAAAAACAAACAAAAAAACAGTAAGACAATAAGTTTAAATCTAAAATAAATAAATCATTAAAATAAATGTACATGGACTAAATACTCCAATAAGGCAAAAACTGTTGGCTGGATAAATAAAACCCAACATGATCCTTATAAAAAACATAACTTAAATAAAGGATAAAGACTGAAAGTAAAAGGATAAAAATATATTCCATACAAACACTATCCAAGAAACACTTGTACAATCATAATATCAGATTTTACAATGCTAAAATTTAAGACACTGTTAAAGATAAAATAATCTTTATACATATTTGTATAAACCAAATAATATCACCCCAAAAGATACAAAGCAAACCTGACATAACTAGCAAGGAGAAACAGGTAAATCCACAATCATAGTAAGGAATTATTAAAATATTCCTCTTGCTAACTGACAAAACAGTAAAAATTAAGTTTAAGATTTTAGTTTGTGTTATTTTCCCTTAAAAAAAAAAAATGCCCATCTTGGCTATTTTTCTCTTAATGCTGCTTGAGCTCATTTGCAACTATAGGATTTGATGGTACTTGATTTTATAAAATTAAAGTCATCTTTAAGATCCTTTCTACTGGTAAAAACTAAAACAAAACCTGCAAACTTTACCCCATTTTGCAAGATAATAACTATTTTAAACTCTTACACATTGAAATACTATTCAAAAAGCATAATTCAAAAACACATTAAACACATGCTCATGATTCTTATTCTTAAAAAATATCCCTTACAAAATGTATCCCTTATAGAAAATATTCCTTACAAAAATGATATCATAAGAGGGTAATCATCTATATGATCATCTATATGTTGTTAAACCATTAGACTTTCCTCAGAAAGTGATTCCTACTTTTCTAGGTATGTGATTCAGTAATTTCTTATATCTAAATCCAGGAAATAATGAGTTAGACTGAAAAAATAGTAAGTTATTTTTGAAACTATTTGTTTCAAAGCAATTTACATTTTTCAGTGGCCTTACAGTTTTGAAGTCTGAAATGTGTAAATACATATTAAAACAAATGTTTTTCAAACAAGACTTGTTTTTTCAAGCCCAAAATAACGATTACACGATTTACATAAAACAAGGCATTTTCTTGCCTGTGAATCACTGTCTACTAATAAATGTTGTGATGTTTACTGCATAACCATGATTCCCACATGCCTTAATTATTACCTTCATTAACACTTAATTACCTCCACACTTTCCCTAACTTTCCCTTTTGGTCTATACCATATACTTGTTACGTGTAAGTACAATCAGTACTTTTCTTCTCTACATCTCTCCTATCCCCTCAAGGAAAGGAGATTAAGTCCTAATGTTTTCAGTTAAGACTTTTATTCTAGAACAATAAATATGGGAGTTGGCCATAGAAGTAAGTCTCTTCTTGGTTCAACTTTACAGAAAATATGAAAATACCAGCCACAGGAAAGAGAATTTATACGTAAAGTTATTTTAACTGTCACAATTTTCAAAAGCATTAGTAAAATTTTCACTAGATATTTAATTGGAATCTCACAATACTTTACAAAGAAATAATAAATTCTCAATCAAATGTCTAAGAGTTCTTTGGTTTACCTAAGAAACAAAAAGAGGATAGATTTACATAACTGAAACTTTTCTTGCAGAAAAGGAAAAGACTCATGGTTATCAAGAATCTTTAGAAGTAGCCAGAATAAAATAACCTCAAAAAAACCAGTAAAACAAACAGTAAAATGAAGAGTCAAAATTCCATTTTCATAAATCTCAATGAACCTGCTGAAGAAAAAAAGGTAAAGATTATAATATTTTTAAACATTACCAGTTTTAACCGTTCTTTTCTCCTTTTGCCAAAGGAGGCACTTGACCCAGGTTCTGATTCCTTTTTGCCATCCTCATCCTCATCTTCATCTTCCTCATCCTCATAACACCAATCTGGCAACAGAGGTGGGGGTGGTGCTTCTTCTATGTCACCATAGCGACGAAAAAGTTCCTTCAAATAATCACCTTTATAAATTCCTGGTGGTCTGGCTTGAGCAAAAGTAGCAACTGCTGCTTCAATACTATGGAAAACAAACACCATGCAATTTCCTCACTACTCTCCATTTATGCAGACTTATCAAAACTCACTCATTATATTTAATGTACCATAGAAGTTTAATAGATTTATATAACCACGGTCCCAATCTTAAGGCATTCAATTTACTAAGGGACAAATTCATTCTGACTCAATTTTAACAAAAGTACATTGAAAATTCCTAGAGGTAAATTGCAATGAGTGTATAGGAGAGACCTGGGTAGAGTCAGTGGACAATTTAAATAAATCTTTGAAGGTGGAGGTCTGACTCTAACAGAAAATATCAAAGAAATGTGAATAGCAATTTAAATAAAGTAAAAAGCATTCTGGTTTTTCAGGAACTTTCAACAGACTCAGGCAATAAGAGCAGAGGTCATTAGAGAAGGGCTAAGAATAGTTATTGTGTAGAGCATCTGAAAGGCCAGAAAAGCTGAGCTAGAAGTGCATGCAGTGCATGCAGAAGGGAACTACTGAGGATGCATGACCAGGAAAATAAAATATACCACAAGATGTGTACCTCGGCTGATTATATTCAGAGAAGGACCTACTATGTAAAAGGCTTTGCAAATAATGACCTTCAATCAGTAAATGAGGAAATTCAGTTAGTAATATCTCATTCTCTCAGGAATTTTGAGTGAGGTTCTAATGTCTCAGGATCTAAAAAGGCACTCCATAAATAACAGGTGCTCAATAAAGACATGCTGATTGGTTTAAATAAAATAACTCTGTCCCCAAAATATCTTTTCCATATCGCATTATAAGTTTTTCCTATTACTCAACAGCTATAAGAAGGTACTATTAAAAATGAAAACAACAACAATAATTTCCAATGGTAAATACTAACACAGAATATTGGGAGAACTTGTCTCTGATAATTCTGTAAGATGTGGAAAAAGAAAATACATAGTATGTGGGATCCATAAGCACTCAACTAAAGTGCTGCTTTGTGCAAAAACACCAAGTATGGAATAGTATTCTAAAGATAAACCAAATCTAAAATGAAAACAAATTCAAATTATATTAATCATGACTTCACCAGAAATTTGGCAATATAAAGTGCTAAAACTAAAAAGTCAATAAAAAATTTTATCAATTACTAAATGTCTTCTTCCATTATAACATAGAAACAAATACCTCCAATCCATTTTCTCCACCAAAAAGGCACATATGAGGAAACCAGTGCGATTGAAACCATGGGTACAATGAACACCTAGAAAACAAAGTAGTTTGGGTTTAAAATTAATAAATCACTTTAGAGGCCACATTTTACTTTAAAATTTCAACTTGCACTCAAAACATTTCATTTTATAAAATAACTACATTTTAAAAAACTGAAACCTCTTATAATACTATTAGTAACTTATCAGTTTAAGTTGTTTAACATCTAATTTATAGCATTAGCTGTAAGTTTAAATGTAATATATACTGATTTATTAGTTACAAATTATCTGTAAGATCTAAATATTTCTCTTAAAACTACAAGATTCCAAGCATATTAAATAAGGAGGTATTTTCATCAAATATATAACTCAAAGGACACACACACATACAACAAGACACTTGACTGGATACAGAAAATAATTGACTAACTGATGGATACACAGTACAATAAAAATAAAACTACTTTGAAGTTC